GACTCGAATTAAGCGTTACTGAAGCAAGATCCGTACATGAAGGAGAAACATCTTCGAATTTTGGAGGAACGAAAGACCCAAGCGAATCTGACAGTTTAACTTCGAAGTTGCACGAACGATTAATTATAAAGAATTGTGCGAAATATAGAAATTTATAAGAAAAAAGCAAATTTGCAAAACAGTAAACTTCTCCTTTCTTTTTAGTATTTTTATAAAACTCTGGCAGTAGGCAATTTCCAATAAAAAACTTAGGAATTCACAAGCATCCACTAGTACAGAAAACTTTTCTTTACCATCTTCCAGAAAAGAATATACCTTCAAGAAAAGCAAACGTTCCTCTAAGCCTTCTAGAGAAACCTGTATGAAATGAATTGTCTAAAAGATTGGAAAAGTACCCTATAAATTTTTATATTTATGTACGTAAAATTTTTGCTCTTGAACCCAAAATTTTGGCCTTAATCGAATTTTGTCTTTCATTTAAGTCCTTCATCAAGAAAAAGGCCCTATACCGCAAACTTAATTTCCCCTAACAATAATATGCACTGCTAGACAGTTCGCTTCAGTGGATTGTTGCCAACATATACTTGCTGTACGCCTGCCTTTCTTGCCGCGTCAAAGCACAGCTGGCACATTTCACTGAAAAATGCAGATCAAATGACCGCACATTTCCCTACTTTTTTATCCCTTACCGGCAGATAGTACACATGCGTGCCAAGTACGTAGTGTGCAGCTGCAAGGAAAGCAATTAATTTGTGCAGTCTAACTTTCCACTTCATCTCTACTTTGTGCCTGATCCGAGAACCCTACCTACGAAAGACTGTCATTACCAGTTCGAGCAAATATCTCGACGACTTCTCCCTGCTAGTCACACTAACACTGAACACCGCTACAAAACCTCGCTGCGAATTTGCTAAGGACAAAGGATTACCGGAGTGGTAAGTTTTCCAACCGGCATGGATTAAAATCTTCATCTTCTTACCTCCAAAATCGCTGAATCTTTTCTTTCATAATTTTGCCGGACGGAAATTGGCACCCATTCAAAACACCAAATGTTTAAGTTTTTTGACCGAAAATGGTCTGTGCATAAAAAAACTTTATAGCTTTCATTGTTCTTTCTCAAACCGGCTACTTTTGAGTTGGTCAGAAAGATTATTCTTCGTTCTTTCGGGCTCCATCCTTGTAACCATTTCTATTAAATTATACAGAGTTCCAGAAAAAATGAAATAAAATAAAATACCTGTCTTAAAATTGGTTAACAAAAATATTGCTTTATATTTTTTTTAAAGTCATGGGGTACAGAATTTTTGTTTCTACAGTACCGCACAAAACTTTTCCACGGGCCGTTATGGTCAGACAAAGTATAATGAAAGTGTAGGAAGAAGCCATTGAAGCTGTTGCGAATGTTATATATA